GGACCCAAGTGATCCTCAGTAACAAAAAAAAAAAAAAACTCTGATGTACCAAGGAATTTCAAAGTTTCAATAGCTCCTGGGAATCCATTTACAAGGATAGTTACCTCCCTAGTAATTGGGTCCAAGATTGAGAAGCAACAAGTTGATTATGCATCCCCACCTATTTTTTCTAACACCCCACCCATAGTACTCTTTCTACCACACTATTGTACCTACATTATATATGACTGTGAGGAGCAAGCAGCTTGTGCTAACAGCATAGTTACTTAGCACATAGTAAGACCACAATTAAGTCAGATATTACTCTGACCCACACTGGGTTAAGCAATTTTCTTAAACCTTCTATTTTTAAAATTCCTGAGTTAGTAAGAACTATCATGCCCAATTTACAGAAGAAAAATTGTGGACAATAGCGTAATAATCTGTAACTCCAAGTATACATAGCTACTAACGGTAGGAATTAGGCTATAAACCTAGGACTACCTTTAACCCAGCTTAAACTGCATTTAACTAAATTACTACCAACAAAAGTAGAACTGCCAGGTTAGGTTAGAATGAGGATAATACTGTATATATGTGGTTGAAATTTTCTTCATACAAGTGCATACACATTAAGCAAGTACAAACCTACTTAGTCTACCATAAAGCCTACACAATGCCATCATTGTGAAGGTGACCCTCTGGCACAGACATCAAAGAGGCACAGCTAAAGTCATCTGGTATAATTTTAAAGTTTCTTTTTCATACTTTTTTGACCCCTCCAAATTTTCTTAGTTGGCTGGAAGCACAACTCTCAGAATCACGCATCTCTTTCACTCCTCTTGAGCACACTTGTTAGTGCAAATTAGAACTTGTTAAAGATTAATTCTTAAAGCATCCTCAAGCTTTCTTTCCCAACAAAAGAAACATCAATTACAGGCTCACACATAAACTTTGCCCCTCTCTTGAATACTTGCTGCCCTTTATAAATCTTAGATTTCATCCCCTTGAGTATTCGTTCAAAGGAGAGATTTCATTGCCTCCAGGGGTTGTTAAACTGATTGCAATACTGCCTATTTAGAGCAGTTCAGTGGGAATTAAACTGGTTCAATGCTGTCAGACCTAGAATATAGCTGTCAAATAGCATTACAAGTAAAACACTCTTGATAAGAAATAATGACCAAATGTCAATCTGTTTTTCACTGCCCTTTCTATAGACTTCTCCTGCCATGAAAAAAAACAAAACAAAACAAAACAATGCTTTACACTTTATACTAACAG